CCCATTTACTTTCAATAACGAGCATCTGTGTCAATACATTTAACACCAAGATGTACTTTGCACTGTAAGTAGAACACCGCTTATCCGCAATAAGTAGCATTTTAACATACGAGACTACCCCGAAGTTAAAATGTGTCCAGTGTGACTGTAAGGAATGAATAAATCTATTTATAAAACACATTTTTTTTAAAATACAAGATCATCAAGGATTTAAAGTGTGCCCATTGCGCTTTCGTCGCCAAGCATAAATCCAGTCTTAAAAGCATCTAACATTTGACAAGACATGGATACTGCGAAGGATTTAAAATGTAACCGGTGTGATTTTGTCCCTGAAAACACACATTCAATTTTAAAACACATTTGTTAATACACAAGACCAGTAATAATTTCAAATGCGCCTGGTATTAATTACAACCCCTTAAATCCCGTTATTTTCTAAGGAAATAATCACGCGCCAGTGAAATGCCGGAAATGTCAACTCAGTTCGCACATGATCGGTATTCTCCTTATGATCTAAGCAAGGTATTCTCCACTTGCACCTCTGCTCTGTTGCACCGTGACTCCCTTCGGTGACTCCGCACTGTGCAATCGCAAGCGGGCTAGAATTTGAATTTGCGTTGAACTGTATTATAAGGGAAAGGGGTAGATCTACGAGTAAAAAATATACCTACTCGTGGGCCCACTTAGATTGCACCGTTCCGTAAAATTTTTTTCGCGTAGTCATCAGGAAACGTGGAAATAAACAAAACAAAACGCGTGCACGTTGACGCGTTTAAAGCAAATCCAAATTCAAGCGCTTGCGGTCGGACGTTGTTGAGGGATTAATTTTAAATGTAAGTGTATAGGATAAAAAATATTGTGTGCACCACGGCACGAAAGTTGTTTTCCGGGGCGAAGGAAGATATGGCCAGGCGATCACTTTCCCGCCTTGGTACACAAAGTACTATTTAAAAATGTCACAGCCAACTATGATTACCTACCATATTTAAAAAAATGTAAGTTTGCGTTACCTATAACTCAAAAATTATAAAAGAAGAATAGGTAAATATTAATAAATGTATCTTATTAAGCGGGAAAAAATCTATACCTACAATTTTTGTTCTTTGCGCATATTTCTGTATTTCTAATAGGTACCTACTAACGATTCTACAACAGTTAAATGAAAAATCACTAAATCTGTTTTTCGCCCATACCTATATCTAGTAAACTGTGGATTTAAAAAAAAAACAAAAGCATAGGTATCTTGAATATAAGCTCTTAAAACTACAATTCTTTCCCCACTTAACCGAATCTCTAATGTCTTACGGTTTCCGAGATCCTAATGCTTAAAATGAAAAAAAAACACCTACGCTATTAGGTATATTACACTTATGTGAATGTATACCGTCTGGAAAAGTATTGTTAGTGTTTGACGGACATCATACATCTCATAGGTACCTACATCGAATATAGGTATAGAAACCCTTGAATTCGCCCAAGAGCACGCGAACACCTTTTTGTTTGCCTTCGCATATCTTCCTGTAACCTTTAGCCAGAAACTGTTTTAATTTCTGAAGGGACATTAGGTATACTACGATACATGCAGGATCTTTCATAAAAATCAGGCGAATAGGAAACTGAATAGGCGAAATTTTGGAAATCTATTGAATGATGCGTACCTATAGGTATGGAGCAAATCGGCATCGGGTGCAGAATGCAGTACGTTCGGGCTTCAAATCGACTGGAATAATGACTTTCAATCCAGAAGCTGACCAACACCAAACAACTTCAAACAAACCGACGGCACCACGATCTAGTTCACCGGTACCAGAGCCTGCTAGAATACGTCAGACATTAAATAAGACACTGCAAAAAGTTGGTACTGGATCTGAAATTACTCCTGAAAATGATTTAGTATAGGTACTTATATAACGGGCGATCAAAAATGAATTGCTGTCGAGTCGCCTTTGGAAGTTCAAGTTAAATACGATTTCCCATGCAAACAAAAATTCCAAAGGTGACTCGACAGCAACTCGTATTTGATCGCATTGTACCTTATACCCAGGTAGGTACCTAATGGTTTCAGCGTTGTTCAAACATAATTTCAAAATTCATCTATAGAAGATAGGTAGATAAAAATCGAGCTAATTTTAATGCTATGAAGGCTCATATATAACGGGAATTCTAAAATTGACATATACAATCTCTTGACCATGATGTATTCGAGGACATCTCAGGTAGTTGGGAAAATAGTTTTTCGCTTTATTTCATGAGATATCGAATATCCTCACAACACACAACAGATATTTTTTCACTAATACACTTACGTAGAAGTAAACAACGCCGTATGTAAGTATGTGGAATTAAACGAAAAACAATAATTCTGATGTTGGGACTATAAAATGACCAAAGAAATAACAAGAGAACCTTAAGCGAAAACGTAGAAAAGAAATTGATGATGTGAAGAAAAAGTCGAGCAATACAAGAATTGAAGAAAATGAGAAAAAATACTACCTAGGTAAATTACTAAATGTCCTGGCTGCGAAGAATTGTATGTCGACCCCACCACAGAAGGTACAGTGTTCCGAGTGTTTGGAATGGTGGCACGAAAAATGCTCAAGTTATGAGGGTAGTGGTGACTTAAAGTGTTTTTTGCAAGTTTAGTCATCTTACCCCAATAGGTTCGTCACCTTACCCTCACTATGGGGTAAGATGACAAAAGTGCAACGTTTTAATTTGAGAAAAACAGGATCCCTTGGTCCAGCATGTACTTTGGGTGATCAAGTTGAGCAAAAACTGGTAGCACATATTAAAAAACTACAGAAATTTGGTTTTGCGCCGACCCGGTCAGATGTGAGATACATGGCATTTGCACTTGCAGAGCAGTTGAAAATAAAGCATCGGTTCAACACAGTTATAAAAATGGCTGGGTATGATTGATTACAACTTTTTTTAAATCGTCATTCGGATCTTAGCATCAGAACTGCAGAAGGCGTCTCTGTTGCACGTTCCACAGCGCTCAATCGAGAGACCGTCAATAATTATTTTGCTTTATTGGAAACTGTACTAACCGAAAACCAACTTTTTGATAAACCCGGCAATATTTTTAATATTGACGAAACGGGACTACAATTGAATAATAATCCAGGCCAAGTTATAGCTGCCAAGGGATCAAAATCTGTTAGCTCCATTACTTCAGGGGAGAAAGGCGAGACGATCAGCTTAATTGCTTGCTGTAATGGAGAAGGCACCTTTATACCTCCTTATTGCATTTTCAAGGGGAAGAACGTCAAAGATGAATACTCGTCCGGAATGCCGCCAGGTTCGGTCGTACGAATGTCCCAAAAGTCGGCATATGTCAACACCGAAATTTTTTTCAACTGGCTTAAGGAACATTTCCTGCCACGTAAACCATGCGGAGAAAACTATGATTTAACTAAAAAAACGGATGATTGGATTCAGTGTATCGTGCAGTGCAATCGTTGGTTACACGAATCTTGTCTAAAATTTGCGGATATGTGTGACATATGCGGCAAAAAAAGTTTTCTCCCTAGTGCAAGTTAAAGTATATGGATATTTTATTTTTTTATTGTACCTATTAATACCTATAGAATTCTATTTTTTTGTTTTTTGTATTAGATTTAGTAGTGGTTCAACTATCCCCTACAGTATGGTTCATCTAACCCGTAAAATCCGGGTAAGATGGACCACATTGTTTATTCGTTAAAGGCCTCATAAGATGCAAATTTTGTTATGGATTGAATTTTAAGTGTATTATATTTATACTTTGAATAAAACTGTATACGGTACTAAAATATTTTTTGTTTATTTCAAATATTACAAAAAATATAACCATAAATAAAAACGTGGTTCATCTCACCCGGAATTACCCTATTTTTTTGTTAATTATAGGTAGGTATGCTAAACGAGTTAAGTTTGAAAGTTTTTGCATACTTCAAATCGAAGGTAACATACAAGCCATAGGTAGATACATCGTGATTGAGTTCAGTTTTCTTAATAAAAATCTTTGAACCAAGAACTTAATTGTTTTCTTAGCATCGTACTCTTACCCCTCGTTTGTATATTCATATGGATACAACATCTGAATATATATCTACATACCGTCTGTTTTTGGAAAATTCCCAAAAAATTTTGTGAAGATAGGCAATATACACTTTGGCTGCTCGTTTCTACGTATTAGGTACCTACTTTATTATAAAGTATTATTTTGACGTTTGGACATATACCTACCCATTTCGTTTGGAAAAGTGATTGTGATTTTTATCTAAATCTGGCTGTAGGTATACGTATAGGTACCCTTTTTGTGTTGTGAAAACGGAAAATGTTAGGTAGTGATGGGTAGGTACTAAATTTATACCTCATTAATAATCTCCCATTTTATTTTATTTCCAAAATAAATCTTAATAGGGTATAGGGTAGGTACACTCGTAGTAATTTAGATGTAATGTGCTCGGAATGCGCCCTTTTTATGTATTAGTCTCTTGCGACGCGCACGCGATCTGTGTAGTAAAAAATATTTGATAGGGACTACAATATATTATCTAAACGTGAGTGATTACCGAAGAAAGTCTATAATCTCAAGCAAAAACGGCAATAAAAACCGTAGACGTACACTATTGACACAGCAATTACAGTTTATAGTTGTTTAATGTAAGCTACGCCCCGCGCAAGGCGCGCGCACTTGTAGGCGGCACACACAACCCCCACATACTAAAAAATAAGGTAAGTAATTAATTTCCTTGATCAAGAAAAATGTTACTTTTTACTAACGCGCCTCTTATGTGTTTGAATTTAATTCCAGTCGATAACTTTAAGTAGGCTTTAAAAGTGTAATACTCCGGTTTCGATTGTTTTCTTTTTAATAGGAAAGGTGTGAACGGTGGGCCGGGTAGATGTGTAATTCCATTTCTATTGACTACCGGCCCAATGGACTTGCCACTTTACGTTCCTGGCAGTGTAGGCAGCTAGCCAATGACGTTTGTCACAACCCCCCTCAAAAATAAACCATTTAATCTCTACCCCCTCTCACTAAGGTGGAATGGTTCATCAAGTTATTAGCTCTATGGTGTTACTGACGGTAGCATGCATCTAACCACACTATAAGTGTTAAGTGGTGCTAATTGGAGATACTTAGCGAAGTAATATTGGCAATATTGAGCGCGCGTTTTCTGCGGTTTAAATTTCGTGGTGGTGTGAACGATACATTTAAGTTGAGGTGAACATTTTTCTACAAAAAGTGCGATGAAATAGTGAGGTGCGAATATTTTGGATTGGTGTGTTCCGACGGAGATGCTCACAATGTTGCTAATTTTCAGAAGACGGACCATGTCATAAACCCATTGGGATCGAGTACTTACGGTGTCAGTATGCGGCGGGTTGGGCTTTAACTTAAACTCGAATGTTGGTATTCGTAAATCTAAATGCCATCAAGGACTTAGCTTGCTCCCACCTGTATTAAATCCAATCATGATGCCACTCGCACCAACACCTATCGTACAAGTGCCTTCAAAGCCAAAAATTGGTTTTTCGATAGATTCAATTGTCGGCGGTGCGAACCAAATAAGTCCGCAACACTCGCCGTTGCATTTATCGGAGAGTTCGGCGCCCATATCACCTTCCAGTGACGTAGAAAATAGACTGAATGTTTCGCCAAGTCACCTGAACAGTTCGCCGCACCGAACGAACGGATCACCTCAGCGATCACCAATTTCCTCGCCAAAACCGCCAATAATGGTACCCGGCATTCCTGCTCACACACTTATACGACCCAATCCGACCTACGACCCGAGCATGGTGCCCAAAAACGGATTCCTACAGCCCGAAATGATGCATAATCACGGCGGGCATCCGTTCGCACTCGCGGCCCATTTTCAAGGCGCCGCTTTGGCCGCGGCGTTAAGTGCCGGACAACCTGGTTTTCCACAGCCATCGCCGATAACGACGCACGCGACACCTAGAGATAGTTATCCATTATATCCTTGGCTTCTTTCGAGGCACGGTAGAATATTTCCTCACCGATTTCCCGGGGGTAAGTCAATTTTCAGTTTAACAATACCGTGGTCCCTAATCGGCCTGTAGCTATAATAAGAGAAAAAAACGTATAGATACCGAAGGATAAATTTATATTCTGTTAAAAAAAAATCTATTCGATCTTATCTGCATGTGAAATCCGGCAGTCATAAATCTTCAACATCGTTTTCTTGACAGCATCTTTAACTCAGATCATACATCACGCGCATTAAACTGCTTTATTTTGTTTAAACGTAAAAATTTACAACATTAATATCATAGTATTAGGTAATTTTTCATATTTTCTTGGAATCGCCGTCGAATGGATAAAAGTTGTAGGTATACGGGGGGAATCCAGACAAGACGACTGTTATGCTTCGTTGAGAAATTGACAGCTGTCAGTTGCTAATTAGATGTCCATTTGTCATTTTCCTTTGTTACAGACCTGTAGATAAATTAATAAGCGTATACCGTCAGGCTTTATATGTACCGGAAGAATGTTGTAACGAAATTTAAACTTTAATTGAAATGATTGCTGCATATTTTTGACAAGTGAGCATGCGTGGTTAATCAGTATATATGTATTCTTTCTCAATTTTAAATTAATGCCCAAACTCGTGGTGCTAATCAGTAATCACTGTACTGTAGCACCAAGTGATAGGTATACTCTATCTATACCTAACTGTAACTCCTAAGTGGGTACAAAATATATACGTACCTACTTATTCCTTATTTTATTAAGAATTTGTCGTTCAGTTCTTCATTAGTATATAAAATGGAACTCTGAATGTGTTTCGCATGTAACGTGTTTAGAAAGGAAATAAATTTTAAATATGAAAGCATTTTCTACTAACATAAATTTAAAGTAAAAAAGTACAAGTTATGAATAATGCGACTAGGTATATAAATTAGTATGGAGGAGATTATACCTACCTATTCCTTTGCGACCAAGTTTTTTGTAATACAAGTAGGTACCGTTATGCGCCCCTTTAGTGTAGATAACATAAAATGCTCGGCGCATACTGTATATTATACGATATGTGGACAAACACTGTTGTTGAGCTCAAAACCTTTTCAATTAAATCATTTATTTATTGTCAGGAATACCAAATGTGGCTATTTGTGGCATGTCAATAATGTACAAATATACCTAAATATAAACAAGATACGAAGATTCGCATATACGATTTGTAGTATAAGTATATTCTTTGTTTCGTAGCTCGCATTTGGAAACATGACTTTTAATCCGGCTCATATTATTATTATTATGGTCGGTGTTTCTCTTGTCAGAACTCAGGTCTAGCCTGGCTAACTAATGGCACGGATTAAAATCAAGTAACGATTAGTGTTTGTGTCTGTACGTCGCTCGTCTGGTTTTAAGTTATGTCGGGTCCTAAAAAAAAATTTAAAAAATTCACATTATTATTATTATTATTACTATTTTATTTATTATTGAGCATCAGAGTTAATGATTTAGACATTGTCAAAGTTTACAAATATAACATGTAAAGTGTAAAAAACATTAGTCACAAAACAAATATAATGATACAAATTAAACTGACAAAATAAAATTCAAATAAGTATATAAATAGGTTAAACACAGCGGTTCTAAGTGGTGCCTGTGGATCGGAAGAATTCAATAGTACTAGTACTGATCCTTGAACTCGTAGAAATCGATTCGTGAAGATTTGACATCGCTGTCTCTTTTCGTTCTCGAGTTATAGACGAGGAACCTCGCGAGGAACAGACGCACCTACCGATCACGGTCGAGTACGGCAGATACAATCGTCACTTGATGCGACACGGTTGTCTTTTCGCCTTTCACGAAACTTATAACTTTGTACCCCTACCCATATACGAAACGAAACCGTTGTAATGTGGGTATTAAAAAGAATTTACTTCTGAAGTGCGACAAAAATTATAATCTGAAACTGGAATTGCAAGAACCAAACTGGGAGGACGCATGGTTTCATGTTGAGGAAATTATGCGCTTTCTAAGGTAGGAGAAAGTAAATTTTGCTCTTTTATTGTTTATATTTATGTTTCATATAAGTGGGCGAACAATCTTAACGATAAAATGCTCAAAATTGACGGGGGGGGGGGGGGGGGGGGGGGTCACATTTTTCTTGTGCCCGTTTAAATGCAGTCGAAGTGTATTTTGCGCTGTTCATGTTGATATAGGTAGGTAGGTAAATAATGAATTAAAGTAGTCGAGAATTCAAACATCTAATTCCTAGGTATAAGTAAATCTATGAACTGGTAGGCAGATATTAACTAATATTTGTATACTTCTCACGACAGTCATGACTGATATAGATTGATCTCCCCCTCCCCCCCTCCCCCACCCCATTCAAGGGCGCAAAATAACAACAACAAGAAAAGTGTGCCTCTGATTAAAATTCATGCAGTCAGTTCTAACGTCACAACATTTAGGTTCAGATCAAAACCTTTACTTTGTAGCATAAAATAGTGTGACTGTTTGTGCTATATCGTAAACGTGTAGCAATCTAGTTTGCAAAGAACAACAATTAAATTGGACCATATGGTTTTATGAATTAAATAAATGTAGCAAACAAACTCCTGGATATGGCTATAGCTTGGCATTGCGTATTATATGGCTATATCTATCCCCTCGGCTATCCCCTATCAGTTCCGTATAAAAAGCGTTTATTGTAGACTAAAACCCTATACGTACCTATATAATACGTATAAATGTCCGGCGGATATTGCTATATACCGATATACGTTTGTGGTGTTAGGTATATACGTTTATCAAACGAATGCTAAAAAACGGTTATTTGTATACGTATTATCAACGTAAAAGCAAAGAGTAACTAATAATAAGAGATGCAGCGTATCATTAAATTGTGAAATAGTTTGAATTTACTCAGCGCTGGGAGGGCGATACCCTGGCCCTCTCGTAACTGAGTTGAATAACTAAAATGTACCGTAAAGTTGGTGAGATTATAGGTACCTGCAGCAAAACGGTAACGGTAACATTATTCATGGCGGTGTTGCCAAAGATACTCTCCATAATTTCAAAGCTGTGTGGGCGAGAGTCGAGAGTCAGGTTACTCAAAGCAATGCGTATCAAAGTAACAACAACATAAATTGTCTTGCACTTCCCCGGTCATCACCTTTCATTGTGATCATTCTATAAATAAAAAATATAATCTGCCACCTGTTTAATTCTTTAATGATAATATTACTGTCCTATACTTCCTCCCATTATTTACATAAACTCTGCTATGTACTTGTTTACATCTGTCCTCAATCGATTATTCATATGCAATCAATATTTGATACTGCCAATCCCCTAATTATAACATGTTTATGTTTTGTAAAAATCCGATTTTTTTACGGCTACCATCGTATAAGCAAATCGTAATAATTATTTGATATCAGAATAAGAAAGATTCCTTATTCAAGGGCGCTAACGCTTAACGCTAACGACGAAGTGAAAACACATAAACAAAATATCGCAATTTGAGAACAATTCATAATTTTTTCTCATTCGCAAAGGCATTTACAGAGAAGTTGCCTTGTCATACAGCGACGGCGCGAATAGCTACTCGTCATTTAGGTATAGTTTGCACCTAGGTGAGGACCATTGAATTTATAACTGTCAAATTCAGTGCTACGACCTTTTTCTACTTGGTCAGATGAAACAAAATGTAATTGTACAGCACGATCAAGGGATAGGTGCGTTTAGTACGTCCATACTTTCTTCCATCAGATCGTTTATAATTTGCATTACTGCCTGTCTCTCCGTGTACACGATATCTTTGTTTAGAAACGTCCAATCGCTTTGAAAAATGGTACACACACACACACACCCTCACATGTAACATGTTCTTAAATAAGAACTACTGTTTTTCAGCTACGTAGACGATCGGGTCAAAAAGTTACAGTCCAAAAACAATTTCGAGGATGGGGGGGTATTGGTTATATATTTTTTTAGTATTAAAATTTCGCGATTACTTACTGTGTATTTTACGGATGCAACATCCTGTATAATTATGGAAATGTGCAACTTTTTGATTTACCCGACAATGTTACACAAAAAGAGTTTGGGGGTATGTTAACGACCATTTTGAATGTCTGGCTAAAGAAAGAATGCGCAAGAATCTCTATAGCTAGTGCCACTTTGAGTTTATTTATCCCCATTATGGATGTTGCAAAAAAATCTTGGCATTGGGGGGGACTATGGTTAACGCTAGCGTCCCATTACTTCAAATAGCAAGCGCTGTGTTCATCAAATTTAGTAGGTACCACAACACTTTGGGTTCAGATCATTGGTAGAGCAAAATCTTCATTGATTCATTAATTTCGCCGCGGAAACTTTGAAATGAGTTGGCTTTATGCACAATAACATAACAAAGAGACAGATCGACATCATCGAGATTTTGTTTGTTCTGGATTCCTGGTGCTTCAAAACGTGTATTCTCGTAAAGTGGGGAGTGATTTAGATTTGCCATTATGTTAATTCCGTAGAGGAAATACAATCATACAGAATGCCCAAATCATAACAGTAATCCTTTTTCAATATGCGTTAGTAAATTTACCTAGGTACGTAGCAAAGAATACTTAATCTTTGCTAGGTATAATAGTTATTTATGTATTAAGGGCATAATAGTGATGTTTATATTCTCGAGGGCGACGAGTTAAAAAGATCGAGGGCCTATGGCCCGAGAGCTTTTTAGTCGCCCGAGAGTATAAACATCAGTTTATGCCCGTGGTACATACACAATTTTATGTTTTACAAATAGTTTTCTTCGTCAAATTTCGTTTACAAAATAATTCATTATGTTTGATCGAGTATGCGTGTTCGAATTTGCTAATGTGATTGAAATCATCCAAATGTCAAACGTAATTTTAAATAATTCAATTCATCGTGAATGAGCAAGAAGTTCCAGAAACTATACGAAATAAGGCCTATCTTGTGATTTAGTAGGTATTGACAATTAATAATTGACGTTTCCAATTTTCAAAGACCTGCAAATATTTGTTTGTTTTGTCATTAAGTATAAATGAGTTACTATAGTGATACTTAATGCCCTAGGGCATAAAGTGGTACTTTATGCCCGCGTATCACAGATATAAAAATGTGCTATGATAGGTTAGTAAGACATAAAATTAAATTATGTATGAGTATGAAATAACGAGGAGTTCAAAGGTCGCTTTGCAAAATAATATTAAATAAAGATGCATGATGTTATGGCATATGGCAACATTGCAAATGGGAACCTACAAGGCATCGTCATCGAGGTTAATTAATTAATAATATTTCATGTGGTTAGGCAACACATTTAACAGATAACTATTTCAACGAAACCTATTCCGTTGTACTTCTTATTATTAAGTATTCTTTGGTAAAAGTGAACTCTATGGTTTATATAGTTGAATAAAAATCGTATTTTAAATGTAAGCATAAACTTTGTCTACACAAACACGTCATACTAGCAATACCGAATTTATCTCTTCAAAATCGCAACACTCTCCTGCGTTCCTGGGTCCACAAATATATAATACTCTACCGCAATATATATCTAAAGAGTTCCTGTAACCTGCAGCAATTTAAATGTCAACTTAAAAGTTACTTAAATGAAAATTGTTTTTACTCCATCGCCGAATATTTCAAATGTTGTAATGAAAAGTAGTATGTTGAATTGTCTATTTTATGTATCTAATGTTTGTCATAGTTTAATGTCTCATTAATTGTTTGTCTTACACTTATTCTTGACGCTTCCTATACAATATCGATAATTGTCAAAAGGAATTATAAATAAATCAAATCAAATCAAATCAAAATGCTTCAAATCGTTTTTAGCGCATTTTTGAAAAAAATACGCTATTATATTCGTTATTGCTGGCAGGCCGGCTGTCCGCGTGAGATCTCCACAACTACAATAGCTAGAGAATTCAAATTTTCACTAAAAGCTTTCTGCTATAGTGTAGATGTGCAAGCACTAGTCTATTTTGAGTTAGATTACTTGTGAGATCGATAATTGAAGAAAATAATTTCGATATGGGTTTCGGAGGTGCTATAATTTTACCGTTAGATGCTTACCAGTATAAAAACTTATTATTTACTTTGTGATTTGTTTTCCAAAATGAAGACGTACCGTCAATTGAAATTAAATAAAATTAATTATTTAACGCAGCCAAAATTACTCCTGAGATCGATACCTAATTTTAAACTTCGCTAATAAAAGACTGACCTGCATTACCAAAAAATGCGCTTTAGTCATGCATATGCTGATTTACAACTTGTTTAAACGTAAGTGTGTTTCATAGGATGTTCATTTTCATCAATTCATAACTATAGAGATGTCAAAAGGACCGCCCTTATTTTTTTTATTTACTGCATTGCCAATGCACGAACTCCGATTAAGAATTTAATAAAGAATCCCCATCCAAAATTTCGTCCTAATTGGCTCATTCGTTTTCCAGATATCGTGCTAACGGACATACGAACAGACATCACAAAATTGTGAACTCGCTAGGAACTCGTTAATAATGAAACAGAAATAGTTCAAAGTTTTATCTTTGTGCCAAAACGACGCATAACGAGGGCATATTGAATGTAGGTATGTGTAGGTTTTTAAGAAAAATATTTTTTGTCTGGTTCCATCTTAATATACATATACGCACAATATGCCTGTACCTGTACAAAAAAAAAACGAACTTGCATTGATTCCTCAAGCATCAGAAATCGTCTCATGCAATTTACAAAATGGTTTTCATCTTAATAATACAAGACTTTGACGTATATAGGGTGTCCTGGCACTTGGATCATTGCGATGAATTTAGGTACATAAGTAAATAAAATAAATAAATAAGTAAATAAAAAAATAAAAAAAAAGTACGTTTATTTCTCATAATAAGGCAGCATTCAATTGTTTTTATTTCAGAAAACAAATGAGTAACGAAAAACAATTAATTTTTTAATGGCAGTGCACCTTTTCATTAGACTCATTTGATAGAGATTTTTTTTCTCTTTTTGATGATAGGTATAACATGTTAGTATCCTTATTCAAGAAAATTTTTCAAAAAAAATTATTATACCTAATTGGGAACAATAATTACATACATACATCTAAATAAAACAAATGAATGTGTGCCTTTCTTATTAAACCTTGAAGACAAAACGAAATTAGCAGTAAAATGGTTTTCATCGCAATGAATGTTCAAAATGTATTAAAATTAATTTCTTCTACACGGGCGCTAATGTGTAACGTCATTGAAAAGAGAAAAAAAATCTCTATCAAATGAGCCTAATGAAAGTGTGCATTGCTATTTAAAAAAAATGAATTGTTGTTCGTTATTCATTTGTTTAAATAAAAACAATGGAATGCTGCTTAATTATGGGAAATAAAATGTTAAACTTTCATATAGAACAATTTTGTATACAGTCGATATTTACAGAGTTATATACCTACTGTCCGTCCATCTGTTCGCTCGTCAGGATATATAAGTATACAGATTTTGGTTATGTTTACGTAAAATTTCGCGGTTGAGATCTTCCTGAGACCAACGCCCTGTTCTTTGACACTCGCGATAGTCACCTACACCAATTATTTGGACAAGTTATGTATTTTATAATTTATTACCTAGAGAAATAAGAACCTATTTAAATACACAGCAGGGTTTCAATTAATAAAATTGGTCATTATTGGGATGTTAGCTTGCTGAAAAACAACACCAATGGTTTCGAGCAGCTAATATTTTTAATGTAATAGGCCGAACCTAAAATTGACCCATGAAAGTTAGTAGACGCTTCGTTCTCACCTAATGGAACGTAGAAGCAGAACAACTTCTCCATTTGGACTTCTTTCAGCTGCTGCTTCACAATCGCTTTCCCATTTTCAATTTTGAACATCTATAAAAGTTATAGGTAGCGTTAATCGATAAAAGGGGGATTACCGTAACTTCCGACCTTGGAAACTCGAGAATTTCAATATCTGGAGATATTACCATATACCCACAGGACACAGTAAAACCGTGGGCGGGAATATCCTTCAATGTGTAGAATACCTCGACAGGATTGGCAAACTTACCGACAGTTGGTGTGGGTGTTGAGTACCAAGCTTAAAAAAATGCTGTGGATTGCCGCTGGTTTGTGCAGGTACATACTAATAGGCAATGTCTTATTATTGATGATTGTATGGACGCAGCTATAATAAGAAAGGTTTTCAACGGCTAAAGGAGTTCGAGGGGTCACAACTCGTGATTCTGGCCTCTCCTGTTTTACATTGGCAAGCTTCTGGCGCTTGTTTTTCGTTTCGGGCGATGAGGGTGGCGGTAAAGGCTTAGGCCTGTAGCTTTTGAACGAAAGGTCCATGAATTTCAACGGGGGTCTAATAGTGCGACGGGTTCTCCTCAAATCTAAAACCATCAACTCGTTGCGTTTTGCTAGTATTACGCAGTGACTTTACCTTCGGCACCGCCAGCCAAAGTAAATTTTACCTTTGAAATACCGTGCGATTTAGTTTTATTTTCTGGATTTGTTTTTAATCGCACTTTGCTTCTGGTTTTTCGGGAACAGTTGACGGGTCGCGACGCTTCCTCAAAGCATTCCTGCAAGTTTCTTACTGCACGACTTCTCAGCCTAAGTCTCAGACCGGCTTTCAAGGATTGTCTTCGTTTCTAAAACGCAAAGATATATTTGAGTCGCGAATTTAGAGTAATCACCTCAATTATTTTGGAAACTGACATTTCTGCATTAAAAAGTGCAATTGACATGAAGTTTAAATGAAGTGTGCCACCCATACACTTATTTTGAATATATTTTAGAATAATCACAATTTTAAAGCTTTGCGATTTCAGCACTCTTTGGTTCGGGGTATCAAGCGCCATGCTGAACAGGTGAAGAAGGAAACGAACCAACAAAGTTGAAAATCATCTTTCTTTTCGATAACAGTGGGTAAATCTTCTGGAAGGATTTGAAAAGATAAAGACAAATTTTGTGTAGGTTAAATTTTACTTACATATAAAACACAAAAATTCATTATCTTCATTTAGTCTTAAATTAACATTTTAAGATCGTAGTGTGCCTAATATGGTACCTTGGGGAACTCCATTTAAATATATCTAAATTAGTATCATTGCAAGTAAATTCTTTATCTGTAATTAATACCTACGCTGAAGCCCGTTTTCATTCTTATATAAGAATGCATTCAACGTCTTTTAGGTAATCAAATTCGTGATGGAAACTAATAAACGTTAACTTCTAATGGCTTCGCATCAAAGGTGGGTGTCTCGTTTTATGATGGGCACAAGTTATAATAACCGATTTAGACGTTTTACTTATGCAGTTCTAACACCCAAGCGACTATTATGGAATATTAATATTTCTTTAATGGGAAACATAAATAATCTCGAAAAACCGACACAGAGTGTAGAAGTTACACAAATATGTTAACATGGATTTTGCATAGTGACATAAGTTTACATGCGAAAAAAAGGCGCGCTTTTTTTAACCTGTTTGTTGTTAATTTCATGTTTCATATAATTACAAGCAAATGGGAGGGTGGATTCCTTCTTATATTTTCTAGACTATCATGGTGCCTGTAATGTAAGCTAAAAAATGACGTTTGCAACTAAGAACCTACATGAAGCTATGAAGGAAATTAATAGCTACACGTTCATAAATTACTGCTCAGCATTAGATCATTACAATGTATATTATACAAACAATTATATATAATTATATTACGGCGTTTCCTATGCTGAGTACATAAGATGTACATTTTTCTCCACTGGCTGCAATTAATAAAATTTGGCATTTCTAAATGAGTTAAATTGTTATTAATGTGCCGACTTTAACTCATTGTCTCAATTTTTTAATGAACTGAACACTGCAATACATTTTTGAGAATTTTTGATCAGTTCCAAAGATTCAAAGGTTTGTCTGAAAATATATAGGATAAGGTGAAATGTAGCGAAGCTAAACGTGCTATGGTAAACCCTTTGGCAGTGTACGTGTTAAAAAGTTACACTCATAGGTACATTGCTTAATTTACCCCAAACACCCCTAACATTAAATACTTTCGACTGGACATGTTTATTCGCTAGAACTTTCGATAACATTAAAACGTAATTAGATTAATACAGAAACGATAGCTATAATTTTGGCGAATACTAAAACAAAAAATAGAAACTTAAACGCCAGCATTAGACTCTTAAAAAGTATCTCGCGTGATTATTTATAAACGTTTATATTAATTACTCCAACTTTTCAATGGTTACATAAAAGATATATTCGGCTAATAAGTAGTCTTTAAAAATTAGAATTAAATAATAGGCAGCGTTACGGCATGCAAGGGAGTAATCTAACATGTAAATGTTTCCTCAGAAATGAACCATTCCAAATTAGACACGCAGGAAGAAATTTTCGTATACGAACCGAACTCGAATTATGATAATTTGTTAACGTATTAAGAATATAAGATTATAGGGTGTTTTTTGTTGATACCAATCGTGAAATATCTTGAACTGGAGTAATTATTTACACATTAGCAGTGTTAGTAATTATAGTTAAGATCGTGCACTATCATTAGACTTAAGTTACCTAAATTAATATAGGTGTAATGGCGCAAGTATATATATTCACTTATTATCCTAGTTCTCTTTTCCTTTTTCTAATTAACAAAATCAATATAGTTATAATCACATAAAATCTGAATGTTGGGCACCAGAAAGTAAGGAAATCCTATTTTTATAGACCTATTACATTCTTTATTTACATAACAGGAATTACAAATTATTAATGAGTGAGCAATTTACTAGTGGTTATCTTTCGATTTGATACGGAATCAGTTAAGTTCACAATGTAACTGTTTCATAACGTCATTAACATAACAAAATTAAAATAAATGAATTCGAAAGTAGATAGGTACTTATTGGAATACTGCAAAGGGTAGGTAATACTTTCAAATGGCTTTGCTGTCAATATAATTCATCATAAATCGGTTCCAATGAAACTCGAAACAGTTCCTTAGAACACAAGTGTGATTATAAATTTCCTAGACAAAATGGCTCTAGAGATCAATAGATAAATTCCATTCGACTGTATCATATTCACTTAAGCTAATGCATTAAAACATTAGACATCAAATGTTTCTATAGTTTATAAAGTATAATGAGATACTTCCATTTTGATAAATGAAACTGTAACCAGTGGTTGACCGTCAATTATCGTTGCCCCAATCAGCGTCAGTGAAAGCTTTCATTTCTTAATAATTTCTTTGTTGTTTTCTTATCAGCGATAACACGTCCATCAGGAAACTAATTAAATTTCACCTTACGCAACGCGATAACGAATGTTCTTATCGTAAACGACCAGATATAACCTTTTATAACTCATCCGAAATTTGACCAGATGTGTCTTACTTTTAACACTTTCTCGCACCATATCTGAATTGAATAATTTACAAAATCGAGAAAATTAAAACGAAAGTACGCATCTACACTCTAAAAGGAAAATAAATACGGAAATACAAATTCAAACAAAACGATCATACCTTGTATTTATTAGTAGAACCCAACCGCACACGCTGTGAAAACTGCAGCAAGGTCACATTCTCTGTTGGGAGTCACCTCTAAACACCTCATAAACATCGTATCTTCTTTAGATTTTGCATCATCTTACAGATAGCATTATTTTAAAAAATGGATAAAAACACCAAACTTTGAAATGATATATCTCCTAAACTATAGATGCTAGAGGATCAAATAAAATATGAGATGAAAGGTACTTTTACATTCTACAATTTTGAATAAAACATAGTATTACCTAAACATTGTCATTCCATTGGCGAGTTTTTCAGAAAAACCTAAAAAGTAAGACATATTTTTTGACTTTTGACCACAGAAATTTCCTCCGACGTTAGTCGCATTGGCAATTTTGGTTATTCCTCTCTCTTTACCTTTTAAACAAGTCGGAAAAATAAAATCTTCTATCGGACCTTTTATTACCATTTAGCATTTTTACATCTAATTTTACTGTACGAACAGACTTGAACACTCCCCATTAGGCCCTTCCATTCTTTTTGTGGACACTTCAACGTCGATATAGCACAAAACCTATCCTTGTTGTCAGTTTTCTTCTTGTTGAGCTTCCTCTTAGGACAATTCGACTTGATTAGTCCGAATTCACGACATCTATAACACTTCACAGATTTCTTGAAGTCACCTGACCTTGGTTTCCCAACATATGCAGCTGCTTGGTTTGCACTGAAGTTTACCTTGTACATCCCCGGTAATTTTTGAACTCTTCATGTCCATAATCACTGGTTGATACTTCTATGGATCAGCTATCATTGATGTTCCAATCTATTGTTCCTTAACTTCCAAACCACTTAGCTTAGTTACAGTTACTTCCACTATGTTTACAAATTCCTCTAGCGATGGACGATTCTCAAGCTTTGTTGTTATAAGCTTGTGTAGAAGCCCAACTTTCCTAGTATTTCCAGAATCTTCAAATGCTTTGTGTAGACTATTCCAAAATTTTCTTGGCTTTTTTCGCTTGACGAATGTGGACGAATTGAGGGATCAAGCAATACAATCAGCTTTGTATCACACTACAACAACTTTTTTCCATCTTCCTTTTTACCTTCAACACCATTCCATAGATCCTCCATCTGGTATTATGCATGCACAGCAATCTTCAAGGTATCCTAGTTCTCACGTCCTTAATGTCAGTGTCAGGTAAATTAGCAAGAGTCACTCTTGATATTTTTGCAGCGAGTAATTAATTTTTAGCAAAAGAGCGTAGACCCATAACCTAATGCAGCTAATTAATAAGTTTACTATCAAAAGAACCCATTTTGACAAATCGAAAACTAACTTTATCTAATTTAAGGGAAAAAAACAAAACTTTTTCTTCAACACTAGTAATGTAAGGTTTACATAATTTTTAAAGTTTTTATAATATTTTAGGTTTATAAGCTTCCAAGGTTTCCTAAAGTCTCTTTAAGGTTCCAACAATGTTTAGTCTTCCAATGTTCCCCTCCAGGGTTTTAGGTTTTAGTTTTTGGAGTTTCTGTAATCTCTAGACGTCTAAGCTTTCCGGAGTAAGTAAAATAGTTGCTATAAGTTTCCATAGTCTTTAAAGTTTCTACAGTTTATGAACTAACGTGTATGTCACGAAAGTTTTGAGACAAGAATTTAATTTATTTAAACATATCTATATTTCCCTGTACATACTAACTCCAGGACAGAATCTTTAAATAAAGGGTAGAACTCCATTTTCTTCTATGGCACGTAACTTTTTACCAATTCGTCGCTTAATTTTTTGGACGTTATTAACGTTTGTTTCTACTGAAAAATCAATCCCCTAGATCAATTGTTCCTTCGCTTTTCGTCCATTGTCCATTTGTAAACTGTTCTACGTCATAAAAACTAAAATTCTTTGACTCTTCCCATAATCACAAGAATCCGAGTCCGGCTAAAAGTATTATGATAGTTAACTGTAATAGATGTTACAAATTTACTTTTTCTCCTTTTTGTCTAATCTTGCTATATCGTCATTAAATTGGGGTGGTCCTTGTTATGTAATTATATTAATATGCCTCGGCTGCTCGTCGGCTAATATCCCTCTTACAAATGTTCATAAATACCTTTATTGTTTATGCACCTGGAGTTCTCTAGATGTTGGATGTCGAATAGCCTAGATCCGCCCCATTGACTTGGAATTGGTAAAAACAAACGGACCGATGAGACTCTGGGC